TTATTTCAATGGTAATGTGCATAATTTTGGGACCCTACATGTCGCTATTATGCCGAGTAAACCCAACACAAATCGGAAAGAGAGAATTTCAAATGCGGTCCACTCACTAAAGCTTTTTATAAGAGATGAGATCTCAGTTCTAGTATCTAATTTTGAAGTTTGCGTTGAGTAAAGTCGTGGACTCTTCTCTTTAAAGATGCGTTGACTTAGTTTAATTTACAAGTTGGAATAAAGTGACTGATGTTAAAGCGACTAAGTAAAAAATATACCTCTTTGACGTTTTTAGAAAATACAACTTACAAACAGCTTAAGACAAGAATGGACTATTGGTATATATAATGTACTCTCAATTTTTTTATTAAGCTTTATGCACACAAATATTTGTACATAGGCGCACTTAATGCAGTTGGCTTTGTCAACAATCGAACCTTTGGGTCATGCAGCGATGTAAAAAAAAATCTTATTCATAAATAAAACTCTCGATTTATCATGCCATCATTTTATAAATCGAATGTTTTAAAACACACAGCTCTGTGTACCTCATTGTTGAATACAATGTGGTGTGAGCAAAAGGTAAAGCTTCTATTAATACTGTTATTATGAGTGCGAGATAACCATGCTTTAGCACAAATGTGTTATTTCAACGCGAGAGTGACGTTTTCGAAGGCCCAATCTTCTTTAAGGTGGAAAATCTACTAGTCAATCTCATAACAGTACTTGATTATTTATTACAGTAAGTACATATTTACTAGTCAAACTCTTACTGACTAAAAACCATCCAGTTCCTTCTCATGCTCCGGTGCATTATAAGGTGCATGCCCTTGACTCGGCGCCCCATTTACAAATCCTTAGCAACCAAAAAAAGACCAGCAACGCACTTGTATCCCTTGATGTTCCATCTGCTCGATTAACGAACTTTCCCAAACCAAAAACATTTTACATTGCTCTTTTATAAAATATATTATTTTTTGCAACATGACAGAGAGTCTGATTTATTTATAAAGAGCCAGTGAAACACAGTGAAAATAAAATACAAGAGAGCCTGCAGTGGATTACTTTAACGCATTGCAGAAAAATCAAACCGAATGCTAATAATAATTCACTGATATTTTTAACCACAATTCAATGAGGCTTTTCTGAAATGTTCCCAATGAGAGGATGAGGGTAGCTCGCCTCTGGACCAGAACCAGAAAGCCAATACACCACCACCACAGATGGGACCCAACATAACTGATGTTCAGCCGGGGTTTCGAGGATAGCGCAATAAGGTTCCGCGGCCTCTGCCTAAAGCAGGCACGATGCTTTTTAGTCAATAAGAGTCTGTCACTCCCTCTCCCCTCAACCTGGGCGAGGGAAGTCATTTGATGGTTCGTCCCATACAAAAAATCTGTTGTACGATAAGGTTTTGCTATTAATTCACACCTTAGACTGATCAATTCACCACATTCAGTCTCAGTGTCATGACGGCAGCGTCAGTTTCGCGAAGGCTAAAAAGGACAAAACCTTTTGAATTAACATAGTGAAGTGTTAGTGTAAAGTAGTGAGTGCTACCCGCAAAGAACACAATAACAAAATGTCTTCCCCTTAATAGAGACGATAAGAAAAGTGTTAATGGACACATTCTTAGTTATACTTTCCTAGCAAAGTAAGTCAAAATTGAATTACTTATTAGCATTAAAGCTAGATTGTAATTTTTATGATGTTATCGTATGAGGTCACATTTCATCACATTTTTGAGATCCACAAAATAAATGTTTGTAAACGAACCGATGACAAGAAGAATAAACGTATCCACGTTAATAAAAAAAAACTTAACTAAACTGGATCGGCAAATTCTTATTTTTAAACAATAAAATATTATTTTTATTAATTAATCTAGTTGGTACTGAAAATGATCTACCTATTTAATCTAGAAAGCGAAAACAAGTAACTATTACACTAAGAGAAGTCTATACAGTGTACCAACACATATTGTATGTATAAAGACAAACATGGATATTAAGTGCTTACCGTCGATGTCAGCTACTTGGGAAGAGGCCAGGAGAGATTAATTAATATGCAATACGTTTGTTATTTCGCAAGGGTTCGTTTACACCCTCTCGTGAAGTGAAAATATACACAAATACATATGTATACACACTAACATTTGCGACTTCATCTGCACAGGATAAGAAGCATAAGTGTTTTTTTTTTGTATGTAATAGATCGTCAAACGAGCGGACGGATTACCTGATGGTAAGCAATCAGCGCCGCCCTTGGACACAACGGAGGAGTTACGAGTGCTTTGCCAACGTTTTAGGGATTAGGGATTTGAAGATTTTGGGAAGGTGAAGGATTGGGCCTGCGGTAACCTCACTTACACGACGAAACACAACGCTGTGGTTGTTTTACGCCGGTTTGCTGTAATCACTGTGGTCAAGCCGACCCATTCGTAGCGAAGCATGGCTCTTCCACGTTTAAATCATATTTTTTTATCCTATGCTTAATTCTTAGGAGGATATGTTTTATGTGATGAGCAGAAGCATCGTCTGACGATAAGCAATCGCCTTTTGGGAGTTGGAGATTTGAGAATTAGCGATTTAGTGATATAAATACTGGTATGATTATAAAGTCGTTTTATGTAACCCGTTTCTAGATGTTTAGCTATTCGCTTTTATGGGAGAACAGAGGTCTTTTCAGTCATCGAAGTAAATTCAAAGAAAACTCATATCCACCTCGTCCATCAAAATTTACCAAATGTCACTTGAATCAGCGCAATAGTTACTGAAAGCAGGTTCATAAACAAAAAACAATCAGTTTTAAGTTTTTTAAGCATTTGTCATGTCAGAATACATGGTTGAGGTACCTTCTTATACCTATATATGTAAATATGTATGTATATGTGTAAGATATACCTCTTTCAATTAATGAAGATTATGTGGAGTTAAGACTTAGGGGGTGCGTTGCAGCTTCATACGAAACGTTTCATATTCATAGAATTTTAAATATACCTATATAAGCCTTCCTGCCTAAATTTTCGGATTTATCTTCATATTTCAATCTCTTTTATTTCATATTTTATTGCCGTTTGTAAAAAATAACACGTTTCGATATCCAAAAAATCGATCGAAACATTTGAGTTTGATCTTGATTTATACGTAATTTTTACTAGATTTTTTCAGATCTTATGATATTTTGTTATCTTATGAAAATCATTCAATTATAAAACAATTCAATCATCTATATCATTCAATGATCTATCTAATTCTAAATACATACTTTTGGACACGGGTGCGTCCTCAAAATGCTACCAGACATCGAGGGCAGCAGCATTCTATTTATAAGTTGTACTTAACAATATTTTGAGATCAGTAAAAGGAATGCCAGCTCAGGCTTGCTACCTAGCAACCAGGTTTGCGGGGTCAAGTACAATAATACGACAGCCCCGGTTTAGATAAGGTCTTCACCTTATCCACCACTCCTTCGAGTGGGGCGGTTTTTAGTCAGTAAGAGTCTGACACTCCCTCTCGCCCCACATAGGGAATAATAGAGCTGTAATATGAAGATTTTCGCTCCTTAAAAAAAACTTGCTACCTATATCTTTGGTGACTATAAGCGTAACGTTATCTTCCAGCAAAAAAACCTTACTTGAACCCAAACGGTGGCCGATAAAAGGCAATTCCAAAGCCACTTTACCGTCTGCCATAGCAATTCCCTTTTGCTTATCGGTGTCAGTTAATTTTTCCATGACATTGCCATAGCGAATTTAGTTTAACGAGGATCCACGGTACTGACATTACCTCTCCTATGGGAATTGGAGGGTCGTTCTATGTACCCTTGAACATAATATGGTTATTGATGAAATACGAGTAGAAGACAGTAAAATTTGATTATATTTCTGTTTTATAGATTTATTTATTGAGTTTAAAATTGAGCAATAATTTCTGAGTACATTCTGCATAAATATTTAGTATGCAGGTAGGAAAATTAATATTGATTCAGTACGGAGACACAAAAATGATTTTGTTCTGAGATCTCTGGTATAGTAAGGAGCTTTAGCTTTCTGAGATCTTTTGTTATTAGAGAAAATCAGACCCTAAAAGAGACTCATTATCTCCTCCAGTCGCCTTCTGCAGCTATAAGAGGAGCGGCAACTGCAGCCCCAGCTGATTCCGAGGACACACCTAATGAAATTCATTTCTACTGATATTTATACATTCAAAATATTATTAACGTGAAGCTAGATAAAAATACTCATTATCATTATTGTAAATTCTGATTAAACATTTTATTGATAATCGGTAGGTATATAAAATATAAATTGTTTTAAAATATTTTATTGAATCGAATAAAATAGAATTCCGTGTACTTTTAATTACTAAAAATAGTTCAAAATGTTTTCCATTTATCGGCTATTTGACTAATAATTAAAATAATTTTGCTTATTATAATATCAGGTAATGAATTTAACCCGACAGGATTTAGTTACAAATTAAAATATTAGTTGCTTGTAAAATATTTTTAATGTTGGTACGATATCCTTTTAATATATTTGTTTTTAATAAATATTTTTCATTGTCAACGTAATTTCGGGCATCGTTTTCTGGAAGTACTTAAACTTTGTAACTATTTTTACCCGACTACGGCAAAGAGAACCGACGCAGAAAAAATATAAAACATGATTTTCAGAATACTGAAAGGCTTAGTCACACGTTATCAAAGTGCTACGGTAGGCAGGTACATATATGTAACGTGTGACTTTTGTGTATTTGTCTCGTTTTTTGTCTTGGTTGAGTTTTAGTTTTTATAATTTTTACGAATTAAAAGTGCTTTTATTAGTTATTTTGAATATTAATCATTTTTTATTGTGTTCGCCGAGGTCAAGAGCGAGAAAAGTCATTTATGATTTTTCCTCCTCAAAAAAGGTATCACTGCGTGATTAGTCAAATCAAATAATCGTACAGACGGTTTGTTTTCGTATTTGCTACATAGGTAAGGAAATAAAACAACAGTTACATTATATATTTATCTATATTCAGGATCTTAATACGTTTACTTTGTCACTAACTAGTCAATAATTAAATTAAAATCTACATGTACAAAAATTGTTTATATACACGAATTCATGCAATTACTATACTTAGTCTAATTGGTAGGTACATAATGACCGTGACGCTCGTTACTCGAGGAATTTACAAATACAATTAGGTAATAATTAATACATCTGACGAAATTCATCATTTTGACACATCCAAGTAAACCCGAGTTTTTAAAACTTCCACACTAATTAGGGTTGTTATTTATTTTAAAGTAGCTAATCGCTAATTACATTTAAATTACAATTTAACGTCTTTGTGAACCTGTTTGACGATATTTGCAATAATTAAAAATTGACGATCATCAATTACAATTCTTAACATTATGAATTTCATACATGAAGATCGTTATCCTAATGCATTTCGAATGACACTGAGTAGGAGTTAAATTATAGAATAAATATGATTTATTCTTAAAATGGGAACACCCCGCATTCCGCGTAAATAGTTCGCTACCAAGCGCTCGCAGGTCGCGGGCCGCGGTAATGGGGCGGTCGCCGTGCGATGGTGCTCCATCTATAGCCACTATACGTTAATGTCTCTATACGAAAGGAATATTATGTTTATATTTACACGCACACACAGACGCACAAACATTTGGCACAAAGAGGCGTTTCACGCTCACACACGGGCCACGGCACGATCCACTACAGGTTCTGAGCAAATATAGGTATGCGGAGAGATATCTACACAAGTACTTCGTAGCCTCACCTATTAGTCTCCTCTTATAATATTGGTGAGTTCTTATTCTACTTATTTACATCTCACAATCAGTCGTAAATAGTTAATATTTTGGCAGATAATTTCCATTTAATAACTATTTTAAATTACAGAAATATTGTTGTTTACAAAATAAATATCAAACGCGACATAACCATATCGGTTGGCACTGTTAAGTCCTAAATAGGCCGGACTAAAAGCAGCTAAAAATATAATGCAAAATGTAAAGTCGTATCATATAAATTCAGAAATACGAATCTAATTTCGATCTAATAATGTTCGGTTTTATAATGATAAAATTATTTCACAACCTGTTACAGTATGTATTTGGAAGTTAATGACTATTCTACACAGAATGGATGAAACGTTCTATTCGAGTATTATAAATTAGAGTTCAAGATTAAAAGGAGATATTGTCAAGATTGTGTCAAGTCTCAGTAGGCGAATATTTTTCTAGAAGGGTCTAGAAGTTGCTGTCGTAGTCAGAGCGGCGCCGCGAGTAGTGCGAGCGCGGGTACTCGCCCGTGTAACCGTATACTTGGGACCCGCCGCCCGTTTGCCCATACAGCTGCGATCCACCGCCGTATCTGTCGACATAACACAAGACATACCTATTAACATCCACAATATGTTCCTGTATTTAAAACTTGCCCGACCGCCCGACCCTGGCCTGCCTGCTAAACTTTTGCCATGAAACAAGCAGCAGCGGTTTTCCATGAAACATGTAAGGCAGGGTTCCGCTGCGGTAAAAGTTTGTGGGAAAAGTAAGCTTTGGCCGTCTCTGGTGTATTTGGTGGAAAGTTGGACGATACAAGCGTTCTGCTGAATTGGACAATACCCCGCAGACGTAACCGCTTGTGTTACTTTAAGGTAATCGCGTAAATTATAATGCATTGGTTTGATAAACGAATCATTATCAAGTAAGTTATTTAATTCATACCCATAAGCATTTCCGACAGGGCCATAGATCTGCGATCCTCGCCCAGAATCTGGTGTGTAATGCTGCATGTACTTCTGGAGCTGTGGTGTCCACTCTGACCGCCACGAGTCACCCGGGTTAGGGTAAGCCAGCTGCTCGATGAAGGCAGTTGACATACGCTGGACGAAGAAAAGAAAAAGAGGTCAGAAAAACTGAAATTGTTAGGAATTTTTTATAAAAAGTGTCAAAATTTACCTTGCCCGAAGGAAGATACGGCAATTCACGTTCTTTGAGTTGATGCACATCATCAAAACCTCCCATATGACTCTTATCCAAATCCCGAAGCATTTCTTCGCTGAGTGGTATTGGCTGTTTGGCTTTGGCACTCTTCTGTCGGTTAACCAACTGGAAAATGTAAAAATATAAGCTAGTATCATGTCTTTAATAAAGCTTTCATTATTTTCATTTAGGTAAGGATAACTTACTACTGTAACTCCAAATATTACGACGAACAGAAGAGATGCTAGCGCGATGACAATCACAGCGATGCCCCACTGAGGCAAGAATGATTCTTCTTCGGGAACAATGGCGGTTGGCTCTTCACGTTTAGGCAACACTACAACACAAGAAAATAATATAAAGTATATATATGTATTTTTCTTAAGCAATTTAAAACAATTTTCTAGAATATACTAACCTATAAACTCGGTGTATGCAGGATCCATTACAAACTTTCCAATTTCTAACTTGCCAGCAGACTTGTCAATCGTCTTAGTCATTTTCTCATTGCTCTTCTTCATTCGTTCTTCATCAGGTTGATCTCCTAGCATAACATCAGGATCGAAATCATCTTTCGGTTCTTCCGTAATAGTCTCGATAACTGAACCAGGCTTCGCTTCGTGTAGAGATTTGTGGAACATTTTCTTCAGATCTAATGTGTCCACTCTTTCTTCTACTTCTTTGAGTTCGATGAAGTAGTCAACAAGAACGGAGCCTTCACTGAACCCATCGATTCTGATATCCTTGTACCATTTACGTAGATAGTCCGATTTTGAGTAGACTGAATTCAACTGTAAAAAGATATTTAAATTTTTACAAATCTGAGTGTTATAATAAAGTTTTGCGATAAATTATATGTATAATTTTTATTTACCTCTTCCTTGACATCCTTTGCAAGCCGTTGCCATTCTTCTGTATTATGATCTAATAATTCAGGTATCCATTTTACTCCTAAAATAAATAGTTATAGCTTAGTAATAGAAAATTTTCTTTGTGTTATAAAAATATGACGAAAATATTAGAAAAGACATAAAAATACCTGATACTATTTTGATAGTAGCAGCAATATCACACTCTCTTTTGCACAATCCGGGAGTGGTCGGAGGAGGGGGAACGGGTGTCGTTGTGGTCGTGGTCGTAGTGCGTCGAGTCGTTGCTTCGGTACTAAATTCAGGCAGAGGACTTGTAGCAGTAGCATTCCTTTGAGCTTCTAGAAGCTTCTCAATAGAAAATGGCGTAGTAGATGGTGATGGCCAACCAGTGAATTCAGTTGAAGCTCTGAAAATAATAACATCATTAGGCTAAGTACTCGATTGACTTATTAATACTGGTCAAAGACAGGCATGTAAAAAAGATGTAAGTACCTTGTAGGCCAACCCTTTTGGATTTTAGGCGTGACTGGAACAGGGCCCAATGGTTTTGGAGTAGTTGTTTTTCTATTCACTTTACCACCTGGTCTAGACGGGAACACCAGTTTTATACCTCCAGGTGCTTTAGTTGTACTACTGGGTGGAGATGGTTCCTCTTCCGTTTCATTCAATTTAAATCCAGGTGGTAATAAGTTGGAAATGTCAGCCACTTTTATATTGACTAGAGGACTTCCTCCATTTTCTTTGTCTGTATCGTTCAGTTTGAAACCAGGTGGCAGTAAAGCTGACACGTCTATTGGAATGGCGTTGACTGGCAGTTTGGGCTTTTCAGTAGTTGTAGCATTTAGCTTGAAGCCTTTAGGCAAGAATGCTGAAATATCAACTTCTTCAACTTTATCGAAGATCGATTTCGTAATTGATTTGACATCTGGCGTTTCTGTACTTGATGGTTTATAATTAGCTGGTAATAATTTGCTCAAATCATCTTTTTGTAATTTCTTAACGAGATCTTCTTGAGGTTTGTTTTCTTTAGGCTTATATTCTTTAGGAAGTAAAGACTTATAATCTAATACAATAACCTTGTTCTTAGAACTGATACCCGATGATCGACCCTGTGTTCCATTAATTATAGGGATCTCGCTAGATAGTTCTGGTGCACTAGTAGTAGTAGTTGTGGTAGTTGTTGTGGTAGTACTGGTTCGTTTATCTTTATATGATAACCTAGATTTGTAACCAGCCGGTAAAAGTCCAGCTATGTCATCCATTACTGTGACTAACGAGGGCTTTTTCTTAGGTTTGGGTGTTGTAGACGTTGTTACACGATGAGCGAATTTCTTAATTTGTACAGGTAATGGTTCTGGAGAAGATCTTTCTGTTACAGAAGCAACTGTAGTACTCTTCAATGTGAACACCTTTATTGGTGGCGGAGTCGTTGTAGTAGTTGTTGTCGTTGTTGTTGTAGTGGTTGTACTTTCAGTAGTTGATTCAGTTATCAATTCAATGTTTTTATTTTCATTATTTAATGAACCCGATAAAACTGCACTTGATAGTTCAGACTGAATACTATCTAACTTGTCGTTAATATTTTCTGTTGACGACGAATGATTTATAAGTCCGCTGGTATCTTCTCTTGGGTCTTTGGTTACGGATTCTTCGTCACTTCCTTCTTCATTATCATCGGCTAAAACTTGCTTCTTTTCTTCCTGTTCTACAGTAGGGAATGGTAAGAATCGAGCACCTGAGACGCTTCTACTTGTTTGAACTGATGCGACTACAATCCAGTTCTCAGTTGTCATTGGTACCGATGCATCATTCATTTGGTTATTAGTTGGTGAAGTACCTTCCGAAGGCCCGCTAAGTTTAGTGGTACTTGGAGCATACGTGACATCTGGAATTGATATAGTACCATTCACTACACTTTTGGTGGTTACGACTGACACAACTTCCTGACCTAATATCGATGGCGTTTCTATTGAAGTTACATCTTCCTCAGCAGTTGGTGCTGTATCGTCAGTTATAGAAGTCTCCGTTTCTTCGGGAATTTTGTGTTCTGTTTGATCTATAACAGTAGTGTCTATAAAATGTTTGAAATTATCATCCTTGACCATAGTTTGTTCAGGTTTCATTACTAAAACATCAAATGATTCTGTTGAATTTTGTTTTGAAATTTCAGTGGACTTTTCGGGTTCTTCAGTCGTATCGTATTCTTCGTCATAATTATCTGTGGCATGTTCTGTTGATGAGGATGGATGAGGTTCTTGTGTTGTATGTTTTACCTCGGCACTTTCATCATCATCATAATACTCCACGTATTCTCCCTCATCTTCTCCATCTTCACTATCATGATCTTCATCAGAATGTTCATTACTCACTGTGGTTGTTGATGAAGTAGTAGAAGTGGTGGTGGTGGTGGTGGTGGTGGTAGAAGTCGGTCTAACCGGTTCTTGCTTTGGATAATTATCCGCATTCATAGAGCTAGCATCAGGTTTACTATCATCTGTTGATTCTAATCCAGTTTGATTGGATTTAATGACTTCTACGTCAAAAGATCCTTGAGTATTCTTCATAAGCTCTCTAAACGAACTTAAATCGCTTATATCATCTTCGAGTAAAGGTTCTATGTCTAGAAGTCCCTTGTATTCAGTGGAAGAACTGTGATATACGTTGGCATTTGATTTCGGCACATTAAATTGATTTTTCTTATTATAAGTATTGCTCGGTGTATTTTGAACATTCGTGTTATCATTGATAGACGGTGAATCTAATTGAGTAAATCGTGGAGTGTTAGGCTTATTATTCAGTCTTTGTTTAATTGCAAGTTTATGAGGATTATAAGTGGTCACCCTGTGATGGTCAAATAAGTCTTGATTGTCGTTTTCAATATCTTCGTCATGTGGAATGTGACCGCTTTGTCCGTTACTCTTCAAGCTATTACCGTCAAATGGTAGAGTTTTGAATCTATTATTTTGTAAGTAGTCAATATCGGGATTATTTAAAGTGATTTGGCCTAAAAAGGTTTCTGGTTTAGAAGGATCATTTTGATACGCAACGGAGTGTATTTGAGACACATCGGGCCTTTTGGTTGAAGCTGGATGTTGCGAAACCATTTGGAAGTTGTAAGGTAAGGCGGGCCTGAACCTTTGTCGTTGTGCAGTAAATTCGGGTTGGTTTACATAATACTGGGTTCCGGATTGACTCCTGCCCGTCGGCAATTGAAAAGGTGACGGGTTCTGATTGTAGTTAGGGCTGGGAAATCTTGACTGGCCCTCGTTGTAAAGTGGTTGCTGCACGGTCGGCGCAACCCTGTAGTTATCCCCATGATCGAAGAATGCTGATGATGGGCGAGCATTTGGAAATAAAGGCGGTTGAACTTGAGCAAAACTTTTTTCTACCGGTGAAAAGAAATAGTGGTTTTCATCTGAAACAAGAGAAAATGACCAAATCAATATTACGTGAGTTCATAATAACACTTCAATTTAAAATTAGATAATAAAATGATAAACTGTTCAATGTTAATGGCATAACAATTTAGTGTATGTAAAAGAATGTGAGAAATTTATCGGGTATTGCCAGAGAACGTGGCAGGTATGCAAAAAGGGTAACCGAGACAATGCAAAATATTCAGTAAGTATTATAAATTTTATGGACATTGGAATTTTTAAACACATCAAACGATTATGAATTGCCTGATTTTATTTTGCTAAAATATTTGCTAAAATATTTTGTTTAATTCTGCATTATTGTTTACTTAAAAGCTTTTCGTAATTTATAAATAACGATCTAGTCTAGCTGGTTTTAGGTCGGCTAGATTTTTACTTCAGTTAAAGTTATAAAAATAATAGCTTAAGATATTAAAACTAATAACACAATTATGATTCATAACTTCACTACATATTATTAAACAAAGTCGCTTTTTCTGTCCTTCTTTAAAACTAAATCTATAAAACTACACAACAATTTTGAGACGTCTTTTTATTTTAATAGTAGAGTGATTTAATAAAAACGTTTATATGTATAATAACATCCATTAAATAGTGAAGAAATTTTTTATCAGCATTGTATCTGTGCAAAATTGTAGCTTTGATTCATAATATGTTTATTTATGTACTCCTTATTGGAAAAGTATTCGATTTATTTTATTCAAGATTTAGTAAAAATATGTATAGAGAAATATTTCACACGTTCCTTGAACCTGACGTTACATGTGTAAGTACTTAATGTATCAACTGTACATGACGTTGATGTAGTGTTCAATTTTATGGAAATTAGCTACAGCGGCGAATGAAATCCACTCCGTACGTTTTATATGCGTCTTGTTAGCATGCGCCGAATTGTTCTACACTTGTCGATGGAATAATTAAACTTTTTAAACGTTTTAATATTTACTGTGTGAATTTATGTACGTGACACGCCAATGTCAATACTTACAGTAAAGAGATCTGTTGAAAAAAGAAAAGAGTCCTTATCTAATAAAAATAACTGAATGATTGATTGATACATAAAACTACAGCTACAGATAACCTTATTATTAGTAAGTGTGAGTGAAAAGTAATCCTATTATTCGCCCATAAACCAAATAAGTGTACAAAACAACTCCTCACTTGTGGGGAAGTTGGGTAAAACAATATCGTAATGGCCCCCGCTGTTTGTTTTCTGTGAATTTTTGTTATAGTCAGCTTTAATACAATTTTGTGAGTGAATGGTATTCTCGTATCAACTAATGCAAATGGCGACGCTGCTTTTAAATTTGGAACGTATTTCATAATGTTTTGTAACCAGCCAGCATTTTGTATTATCACACATGCATTAGTGCAACTCCACTTATTTTTGAACGAATTAAATGTTTCTTCATTGTTGTGTTTTAGTTAAGAATGTGCATTATTTTATTACATACACTTGAAAAACCTTATTTTAAACAAAACGATTGTAAAATAGTTACTTTGTTCTTTATAAAAGTGAGTTGTTATATTTTCATTGTTAAGCTATAATAAAATTATATAAACAAATAAATATAGTGAACTATATGTTCACTATATTTATTTGTTTGGGTTAAACCTGTTTATGTACAAAAAGATTGATAAGGTTTAAAATAGGCAAAATACTTTCGACTAATGTTTATAATTTTTTTCTAAAAAAAAACCGTTACCCCACCCTAGTATATTCTCCTGTGCCGTGGGTGCGTTTACAAACATGCACAATACACCCAGAACAACAATTTGTGGATCGCACAAAGAGTTTTTCCGTGCGGGAATCGAACCCGCGACACGTTGCATGGCAGCCAGTTGTCCAACCACCGCACCAACCGTGCAGTAATTCTATAGGTACACGAGAAAAATCGCGATAACATTGTAAAAAAGTATAGATATATAGTTTATATTAAAGCTTAATAAGGACGTAGGTACAATAACCAGCGGGATTTATGGACGCTACGTGTGAGACTACCCAACGATTAATATGGTGATAAATGGACATTCTCTATCGTAGAATAAATTTACCTTCCTTTTGTAACGAGAATATGTATGACGCGAATATTTCACGACTTAAATGCTATTTTTTTTTGACCTTGTATGAAATAGAGCGGGTTGACAAATGGTAAAGGAATGTTGCATTATTATGTTTTAATTAAATTGCTTTAATTTGAACTTAATATTTGTTAAAACAATTTTTTAAATTAGTTTCATAGTTTTTATATATCATTAATCCGGTTCAAATACATTACGAAGTAATTACTTGCTAGAGTGACAGAAACTTGAGTTCTTTCAATGGGGAATAAGACTCTAAGAATACTTAAAGTTAATGGTAGAATGGTCTATACTAGTAATATTTATTTGGTAATATGTTGAAAAACATTGTAAAATCCAAGTTAGTTCGCAACTTATTTAAGAATTAGTATTTCAAACCACTACGGGAATCAGAACATTAATTACTCTGAACTAGAAAGGGTTTATCTACGATTGCAATTCAGTTCGATACGCGAGCGCCACAAAAATCATAGCTCAGTGGAGAGTGGTCTAATCACATTACACGGCTCTTCTAGTTTGTTATTACATTCGTGGTTTCTATCGGTGTATATATCGTTTGGAAAGATTATCTTGGGGAAATTACTTTCTTGCGGATCATATCCCTAATTAAGAATGGCGTCGGCGTCGGTTGTTCATCAGGTCCCGAGTGACTATCGAAGCCTAATAGTAAATCGATCAGCTTAACTCCTAAACTATAAGGACTCTTCAACCATGGAAACTTTGAGGCCTGTTTACGTAATGGAACCCATCCACTTACTGATCCACCCACGGCCATCCATTTCAAGTACGTACACTTTGTGAACAATTACGTATTTATAAAAAGGTTGGTTACTTATTTTTACTTTCTAAGAAGTATTTTCGGAGGCTGGAAAACATATTTGTGACGCAGTCTAAAAAAAGAACCTCTATTTACGTAGTGTTGGTGAAAGTTCAAGGATTTACTTAGATTTTTTTGTGTAATAGCTCCGCTTAGTTCTAATGATGAAATGCATAAACTTTAATAAATTAAATGCCATCTTAAAATCACCATAATGTCCGCCGCAATTTGTCTGAAAAATTTAAAGATCCATCGTTTATAACAAGTTCGAGGAAAATTCAAAGCAAATTAAAGAGATTTATGTTTCGATTACACTTTGGGGTACGCCTCTAAGCTCAGCGTTTTTAAATTTAATATTATGGGAGTCCAGAGTGCCATTTGAAGTCAGGTGAATATGGGGCAAAAAGCATTTCCACGTTCGATAAAAATCCTATGCAGAATCGCATTGGAAATGGAAAAATTGCAAAAAGTCATAACTTTACATTTTTATTTCTCGGAGGTGTTTGAGTTATAGGTAAACATTTTTTTACATAATATTATAAAGTAGCCCATTATTTTTTATGGGGAACACCGGATAGAACGTCCGTGGTCACCCGCAACACCAAAGGAATGGGTTGTCGGCCTTTTAAGTTATACGGGATTTGAGTTTTGGAGATTAGGGATGATGGGGGTAAAAATGGGGTAACCTCATTCACACTTTAAAACACAACGTTAGCATTGTTTCACGCCGGCGTTCTGAGAGGCTGAACTGTCCCACACTTAGGAGTATCGGCTTATTTCTCAAAAAGAAGGCGATATGTGAATTTAATATTTTTGCTAATGAATAATTTTTAAAGTTTATTTTTAAGCCCTTCCACAGAATAAAATTCCATCCGCTTATTTTTGGATTAAATATGGCATCCATGATAATAATATATAAGAAAGATTCTGTTTCATCTCTTTGTTGGATAATCTACAATTACATAAAGAAAAGCACCTTCATTTGCCAACGTTTTATAAAGATCACGGATTCATTATTCCACAAAAAAGGAATTCCTATTGTGTGATGAAATGTATTATACTTTGGAGTCAACGGAGTGTTATTACTGCATTATTTTTATACGAACATTTGGCAATGGGGCGGATTGTAAATAACTGATTGTTGTCTGACCTCGCGGATCTCGGGTATTTTTCCGTATTTTTTATCAGAACAAATTACCCACCCTTAATATACTCCGAGCGATCTGATGGATTAGAATAAATTTTGATGTATTGTTCGTTCCTTTCTTTTATATGGCTGTCAGAAGTTTGAGAAAACGTGGTGAATGGCGGCCCGGAGTGACGTGGGCTGGTTTGATTTAAGTAAATTAAATATTGTATTTCATCACTTCGTGTGAGACTGGCTCGTTTATGCAAAGCAAACACTGAAGTTCTTATTCGATTTTAATTACAGGCAATAATCTTTTATTTACTAATGGAATAATGATAGTCTGTGAAAAAATAAACCTAAGCTATTATATTAAGATAAACTATCATAGTTGCAGTAATTTTTATTTAGGACATTTTAAAACGGTTTAAACTAATCTCAGTAGCTACATAGAGTAAGGTCATCCTTTTACGGAAAGGTCAGGAGCCACACCACCAAAATATTACGCACATAAATCAAAACTTATCAGAAGACCAATCTTTAAACCGATCTCAACTTAATTCCATCCTTTTCAAACATCGGATCTCCGTCAAAAAGGTAAAAAAAAACGTTAGGCAAGTTTTACCTGATGAAAGAAATACTGTTACATTGGTGGTACCTTCAATATATTTTCTGATTAAGTCTAAGGTCGCAAGAAGCTGGAATTTCCCTCGAGACTGGCCGAGTTTCGTGGCTTTATCGTTCATGTCAATGTTTATACGCCAGGGTTGATTATGAGAGCGGCATTGCCATGCGTAGTATAGGAACACAGTGCGGTAGGCGTGTGTGGCCCCCTCAAAGTTTCCTTTATGAATACAGAATGAAACGATTCGCTTATTGGAGCTGTTCGCAAGGGGATGAACTTAGTAAATTACCTACTATTTGTTTTCGGAAAGTAATAGCTGCGTCTTTCT